ACTCTGTCCTGTGGCCTCACTGACTTGACATAGCTCCCGGGCTTTGTGACGGTCAAAGGACACTGCATGAAGGACACACTAGTGGAAACAGTCTTAAAGGTTTTTCCCTCCCTGGTCCGCCTGCCTGGCCTGTAATGCCTTTCCAGTTGGGTGCACAGGGCAGGTGAGCTCCCTCGGATTGGGATGGGCAGGTCTCGGTGTCTGCAGGGTCCGCTGACTGGCACAGCCCATCCCTGTTTGCTTCCGTTTGCTGAGGTGAACAGAAGTCATGCAGGTTTCACCTTTCCCCCATTTGCCTGACAGCCCTCATCCAGACAGGGTCATGTTTCATTTTGTTTCTTCAAGTTAGAACTGTGTTTGTTTTGAGAAGATTCTCCTTTTCAATCTTTTATTATAGTTATTGACAATGTGTGCTGGGGGTGGGGGTGGGGCTGCACACCCAAGTGTGCATGTGGAGATCAGAACATACCAGTTGTTCCCTTCCAGCAGTGAGTTCTGAGGTTTAACTCAGGGGCAAGCTCCTTCACCCACTGAACCATCTCACGTTTCAATCTTTAATTATGGCAAAAGACGGATTACATAAACCTTATCATTGTCCAAGTACATTGACCCATCACCGTCTTCCACCTCCAGAATGTCTGCCCTCTTGCAAAGCCCCAACACCAGCTTTCTGTCACACTGAGCAAAAGTTTTCCGTTCTCTCCATCATCCTTGTTTCTTTTTTGTTTTCAATATTTTATTTAATGTGTTTGAGTGTTTTGCTTGTGTGTATATACATGTACCATGTGCTTGACCGGTGTCCACGGAGGTCTGAAGAAGGCATCGAATCCCCTGGAACTGGAATTGAAGACAGTTGTGAGCTGCCGTGTGGGTGGAACTCAAACTCAGGTCCTCTGGAAGAGTAGCTGGTTCTCTTAACCACGGAACCCACTCTGCCCTGGTTTCTGTTTTCCTCATCCACGAGAGGATTGAGTTGGTAGTGTGATACTTTTGTTGTTGTTTGTTTTGTTTTTGTTTTTTGAGACAGGATCTCACTATGTAGCTCCGGCTGTCCAGTAACTCACTATGTAGACCAGGCTGGTCTTGAACTCAGAGATCCATCTGCCTGTCTCTGCCTCCTGAGTGCTGGGATTAAAGGTATGCACACTAAGCCTGGCTAATTGGTTTGTTTGTTTTTTGTTTTTGCTTGTGTGTGTGTGAGAGTGATATATGTTTTTTGAGACAGGGTTTTTCTGTGTAGCTTTGGAGCCTTTCCTGGAACTCACTCTGTAGCCCAGGCTGGCCTCGAACTCACAGAGATCCACCTGCCTCTGCCTCCCCAGTGCTGGGATTAAAAGCGTGTGCCACCACTGCCCGGCCTTTTTATAAATATTTATTGGAACCAGGTGAGGTTAATCCCAGCAGATCTCCGAGTTCAAGGCCAGCCTGATCTAAATAGTGAGTTCCTGGACAGCCAGGCCTACATAGTAAGATCCTGTCTAGGAAAAACAAAACAAAACAAAAAAAATGAAACCAACCAAACAAACAAAAAACAACAAAAAAAGAAAAATATTTGTTGATCATCTCCTATGTACCTGATGCTGTGCCAAAACTAGAATGCAGGGGAGACTCACAAGTTATCACCAGCTACAAAGATTTAAGATTCAATGAGCTTAAAAAATACAAAAAATAAATTTGCTCATTTATTCATTCAACAAACATCCTCTGCCTCCCACCCCCAATTCAGGCTCATGGAACCAGGAAATAGCAATATAGGATCCCATCTCCTCCTCTCTCTGCAGTTTTTCTGACTAGAGTCAGAATAATGGAGCCCCCATCCCTGCACCTCTTTGCTGAGCTAGCTCTTACCCAAGAAAGGCCCAGCTGCTAGGGCGATCTGGGGAACGGTCACCGTGGTCTCTGCATATCTGGGAAGAACAATGCCTTGGGAGCTCAGATAATGGGTCCAGCCCGGCTCTGCGGGAGTTTTGTGATCTTGGATTAATTTCTTCCCCTCCTTCCTGACAAACAGGAATTAGCAACACGATATTCACATACCTCACACACCTTTGTCCCAGCTAAACTAGATCATGAGTATGGTGCAGCTCTGACAATCGAGGAGCTCTGTGGTGAACACAGGGCTCTGGTTGCCACATTCTGTGGATGGTAATTTGTGGGAGCTGTCTTTTAAACCTTTTAAAGTTGTCTCTGTGGGTGACTGTTCCAAAGCTGTCCTTTATGCCCCTCCTCCTGTTCCTTGACACAGATTCAAGCAGCCCCAGATTGCTGGCTGGTTCACCTCCACAATACAGAAAGACAGTATGGTCCAGAGGCAGCCAGGGACTGGGCCAGAGGTCACAAAGCAAACAGACCGCCTTCCTCTTCCCAAGTGAGTCACTTCATTACCTGGCCCTACCAGATCCTCTCACCAAAACAAATAAAGCAAAGTCCTCGGGGTCTCTAGTAGTTAGTGCTGCAGGCCGTCTGTCAAGGGGGGGAATGCCTTTGCTACCTTGATCAAGACTACCGAAGCATGGAGCAGGGATGATTACTTGCCAAGGCTTTGTTTTTGAGTTTTACATGGTCAGATTTAATCTTCACACTATCTCTAGGAGGTCAGGTAACACTCTGGACAGATGAAATAACTTGCCTGGGCTAGACCACACTACAGGACATGGTGAGGCTAGCTTCACACCAGGCACCCAATTTTCCAGGCAGCCTAATTCTGGAGCCCAGGCCCATTCTGAGTGCTCACTGTGGAGCCGCACCACACAGCTCAGGAGGCTGAGGGGGTACCTCAGCTCATGGCAGCGGGTGTTTGCGCTCAGCTCCCTGTCTCACAGCTCCGTAGTTCGGAGAGTCCTACTGGGGCACTGTCCTTTTCCTTTCCCTTCCTCCCCTTTCCTGTCTCTTCCGTTTCCCGTTCCCTGTTTCCTTTTCTTTCACTATAGCATGAGGGATGGGAACTAGAACCCGGTACAGGCCAGACAGGTGTTCTACCACTGGGATGCTGCCGTAGTCTTTTTACTTTTTATTTGGGGACAGGGTCTCACTAAGCACTCCAGGCTGGCTTGAACTCACTCTGTAGTACAGGCTAGCCTTGAATTTCAAGGGACATTAATCTTTCTCTGCAAAGTTTAGACTTCTGCCTGGATGGAGTTCATGGGACAAATCCTCTGGGGTTTCCCGTGTGAACGCCAAGTGTCCTTCAAGGGCGTCTTTCAGCGTGAGTCCACAGAAGGCGGCCCAGGTGCAAACTCAGAAGCAACCTAAAAACAACTTACTCGGGAAGTTTAGTGTCACGGGGGGGGGGGGGGGGGGGGGGGGGGGGGGGGGGGGGGAGCCAGAATTTGGACTTACAAGCGCTTCTCCGGGATTCTAACTGCCAAGAGCACATGCAAGGGACATTATGCTGTTTTGCACAGTCAAGAAGTCCACCCCTTGCTCTGAGAACAAAAGTCTGCTAGAAGCCCTGAGGGAAACAACAGCAGATCATCTTGTTCTCAGAGCCCAGGCAGCAGCACACTGCCTCGGGGGAAGAGCTTAAGCAGCTCCCAGAACACAAGTCCTTGGTAGTCCTAAGAGGCTGCTGTGGAGGGCTTGGAGAGGGCCAGGAAATCATCTCCATCCTACGATCTTCACTGATACAAGCAGAGGTGGGCCGCCACTCGGGAGGAGTGAGAACTTTTCCACCAAAGACTAACTGTGGGTCCAGTCTAGGGACACAGGCCTGTCACCCCAGTTACTTAGGGGGTTGAAGCCAGAGGACTGGGAGTTCAAGGCCAGCTGGTCAACTTTGTGAGACCCTGTTTCAAATTTAGAAAGTGAAAAGAGGACTGGGGGTGCAGTTCAGTGGCAGAATGTTTGTCTAGCATTGTGAAGCCCTAGGTTCAATCCTGAATCTCTGTGCAATGTCAGGTAGCTGGACAGATTCACTAGCTTCCTCCCCAGTAGTGTTTCCTACTACTGTAAACTCAGGGAAAGAAGAGGCCTTGTGAGTCTGCCAAGTTTTAGGGCCTTCCTGAGCCTTCTGAGTTATCTTCTTCCTGAGTCTTAAGGAGTCTCCTTCCAGGCTGGACTGTTTCAGGTGGAAGGAAGTTGCTACAAGGCACATATATAGCAAGAATAGTGAGGCTACATTCACTTAAAATTTCATGCACAAATGTTCATAGTAGCATTTTTCATGGTAGCCTAGAGGTAGACAGAAACTATATATCCATCAGCTGATGGACAGCTACACAGATGTAGTACCCACAAAACCAAATAACATGATTCTGAAAAGAAGTACAGTGCCATACATGCTTCAACATGGGTGGACCATGAAACTACATGAGGTGGAAAAGATTATGTGATTCAACTGCCATGAAAATGTCCAGAACAAGAACATACTGAGAGTAGGGAGTACAGAGTTTCCTGTTCAGAGCTGGGAGGGATGAGTGAGAGAGAATGATGGATTCATTCTCTCTCTCATTCTCTCTCTCTCTCTCCACTTGGCTCAAGGTTTCAAAACCATTTATGGTATGATGGCCAGAACAGCACATTTGCCGCTGTAAGCATCTGCAATGGTGTGAGTGGCACTCACCTCTGCACCAGCGGCGCTGGGTCTAACTCCAGAATTTTAAAATCCCCAAACAGAAACTCTTCTGTGATTTTTCCCTTACCTTCAGTTCCTGACAACGACAGGGTTTGGGGTTTCCCCCCTGTGATGAAATGTTCTATTGCATGATTCTGTGACATACTAAAACACTGAACTGTGTGATTTTAACGGTGAAATGCATGATGTGTGACTTATAGCTCAGTGCTGCCATCACAAAATGGGGTGTGTGTGGGGGGGACCAAGACACATCCCCTGAGGCCATCCTCAACATGAGGTAACAGCTGCCAACTGCTGGAAAAGGTTGCAATGAGTAGGCAGGTACACAGTGACAGACACAACCCAGAGCTGACCTGGTGACTCCGGCCTGTGTCCTGCCTGAGACAACGAGCAGCAGTGCCCATTTCCAGGCATCAGTTCTGCTTACCTCAGCTTTACTTCCTGTTCTGTTCCTGATGTTCAGCATTCCATCAAGAAGAGGAGGGGGGAAAACCCTTCCACTATCAAGAAATAAAGCACACAACAAAACCAGGTGGTCAGACGAGTGGAAATGGAGGGGGTCAGAGCTGTAAGGTAGAAACTTAACTCTAATTAAACATGAATGGTTCCAGTAGAAACCATAAATGTCCCGGGTGAGCTTATGGGGAATTTATAGAGACATGAAATCTATTTATAAAATGGTTACATGAAATACTAGAAGTAAATAATGTATCAAAGAAGTAGTGGTTTGACCAGATGGCTTAGTGGGTGAGGGGGCTTGCCACCAAGTGTGACGACCTGGGTTCAGTTCCTGGGATCCACGTGGTGATGAGACAGAGACGACTCCTGCAGGCTTTCCCCTGGCCTCCACACAAGCCCCCACATATGCACATATACATTAATACATAAATGTAAACAAGCAAAAAGGAGGAAGCGTTCACCAGCAGATTGGAAACAGCTGAGGAAAGAAACTGAACATTCACTATAGCAATAGTCACACCCAAAGACAAAAAGAGGACCATGTACGGGAGGAGAGATAACACAGCTAAAGCCAGGGGACAGTAGAAAACAGTCCAAATATATATGCAGTGGGAGCCCCAGGAGGGAAGAAGAGAACATATTCAAGGAGATAGTGGCTGAGAATTTTCCAAATTCAACGAGAGACAACAAATCACAGACTCAAGAATCCTGGCAAAACCTCCAAAAGGATAAATACAAAATATGCACATGCCTAGGATATATAGTTAAACTGCCAAAGACAAAAAATAAAAGTAAAGGTTAAAGGCAACCACAGGGGAAAAGTTATATCCAAAAGAGCAAAGACAATATTGACTTCAGGCTCCTGCCAGATGTTTGTAAGCGGCGCACAACAGAGTGACGTCTCCAATACGAGGAAGCTGCCATCCCACAATCCCACCCCAGTGAAAAGAACATTCCAAAAGGGTGGCTAAAAAAGAGTTTGAGCCATGCTTGGTGGCACATGCCTTTAATTCCAACATTCAGGAGGCAGAGGCAGAAGCATCTCTTTAAGTTTGAGACCAGCCTGGTCTATATATCGAGTCCAGGACAGATAGGGCTACAAAGAGACAACTCTCAAAATGTCTCAACTCTCAATGTCTCAAAACAACAACGACCATGACAACACTTTGAAATATAAAGGTTAAGTGTGACTACGTATATACGACAGCAGATGGAAATCTAGATTTACACAAAGAAATGAAGACTGCTGGCAACTCTAAAATAAAACAAAAGAAAGTAAATATAAAACACCATTTTTATTGCTCAAGTGTTTTCTGCCACCCAAATTCAAGTTGGGACTGTAATTTCTCAATGCAACAGTGTTGGGCTGTGTCTGGATCATGGAGGTGGAGTCCTCATGGATGGACTGCTTCCTTTTGGGGATTAGCTATGTCTTTAGAACACACTTGCTTACACTTCTAGCTTATGTCATGAGTTGAAACAGCAGGTAGCCCTCACTTATTACAGACACTTGATCTTGGACTTTCCAGAATCCAAAATCATTAACCAAAACAAATCTTGACTTGTAATAAATTATCCAGTTCCAGATGTTTTGTTACAGCAGTGGTAAGAAGAACAAATAACTGTTTTCATTTTAAATCACCTTGTAGCTCAGCCCTTACTTAGGACATGTGAAGCCATAGGTCCAATCTCTAGCATTGAAAAAAAGAGGGGGGGGGGGTAATGACTAAACCAAAAGTAATAATGGCATATTGTAGTGTTTATAATATCTGTAGAAAAACATAGTACAAGGGAGAGGAAGGAGGAAATGGAAATTACTTATCCTAAAATAGTACCTTATTACCCAGGATAGACTAAGCTTAAGCTGCAGGTGTAAAGCCTAGATTAACTTCTAATTCTGTTGTCAGCACTGGGGATCAAACCTAGAACATTCTGCAAGCTAGTTAAGCTCTCCACCACTGAGTTATATCCCACTCCTGTTTTGCTTTTTATTTTTGAGACAGGGTCTCACTAAGTTACCCAAGCTGGCCCTAAAATCTCTCTTTAATCCACACAGACTTTGAACTTGTGACATTTCAGACTTAGCCCCCTGAGCAGCTGTAGCACCCGGCTGGCCTTAAACATTTTAAAGAGGTATAACTAATAACCCAGCAGTGGAACAGAATGGAATAAGAACGAAACACTAATCCAAAAGCAGGCATGGAAAGAGGGAAAAAAAGATGTAAAAAGTTTGTATAGGGAAATCATACAACAGCAGGTGAAGTGGGAGGTTTGGAGCTGTCTTTCAGCAGCAAAGGGCTGACTTTGACAGGTGGATTTTTTTTTTTTTAAAAAAAAGATCCAACTGTATAGACTGTCTGTGGAAATTGCACTTTGGGTAAGTTCAGAGAAAAATGGAAAAAAGCTATATCACAAAAGTATTACTCAAACATATGACCACAAAAAAATTAGGTGGTTATGTTAATATCAGACAAAGGAGGCTTTTGAATAATAGTATTGGGAATAAAAAGGGTGTAATATGTAATAACAAAGAGTCAATTTATCAAGAAGTCAAAACAACCCTAAATATACAGAGCTTAGTAGCCGATCTTTAAAATAAGGTAAAAATCTGATAGAATTGAAAGAAAAAAATACACAACCCACACTTTTAGCTGAAAGATTTAAATTTTCTCTCCATTCTTGAATTGATAGAACAGTTGCTGTGGGGGCAGAGGGAGGCTTGGCAGGACAGATATAGCAAGACTCTGCCTGAAAAAACAATCCTCAACAAGCTTTTTAAAATTGAAGTCTTACAAATTATGTCTTATAACCAAAATGGAATTAAGAGAGTAGAAGCAAAGCTGAATTTCCCTTCTCCAGTGTTTGGAAACAACACAGTTCTGAATAAACAAACTCATAGAGGAAATTACAAAGGAAAAATTTAAGTGTTTTCTATTGAGTGAAAATATAAACATAACATCAAAATTTATAGGTACAGTTAGCGCAGTTTTTAGAGAGGATTAAATGTTTACATTAATCCCAGCACTTGGGAGGCAGAAGCAGATGGATCTCTGTGGGTTTGAGGCCAGCCTGGTCTACAAAGTGAGTTCCAGGACAGTCAGGGCTACACAGTGAAACCTTGTCTCGAACAACAACAACAACAATAAAACACACACATACACACCAAACAAACAAACAAACCAAAAAAGTAAGAAAGGCTTGGAATCAATAAAGTGAAGAAAAAAGCAAATTGTAGATAAGGCAAGCAGAAGAAAGGCATGAAGATAAAAGCAGTGGTAAATGAAATTGAAAACAGGTAGAAAAAATGAGGCTGGTCAAGGGAAAAAAGTAAAGGCGCAGACTCTCTGTGTGAGGATTAAAAAAAATAGTTATTGCTTTCGAGTAGAATTAATCCAGAAATCAAATTGAGGCGTTCTCATTACGATTTGAGCTAATATAAGAGATCTTTCACATCCAGAAAAAGGAAGCAATCTATAGGCAATACTGTGTAGTTACACAATGTGTGTAGTTGTTGGCATCTAATGACATTTGAACTATTTCAGTTACATTGAGAAACATTTTTTTTTCCCGAGACAGGGTTTCTCTGTGTAGTTTTGGTGCCTGTCATGGATCTTGCTCTGTAGACCAGGCTGGCCTTGAACTCACAGAGATCTGCCTGCTTCTCTGCCTCCGGAGTGCTGGGACTAAAGGCGTGCACCACCACCGCCCAGCAGAGAAACTAATAATTTAAGACACAAGAAAAAATGATATAGAGTACTGAACGTATGTTTTATCTTTCTACACCCAATGACGAGGACATTTTCACATTGCCCATGCTCCTGTCTCTGTTCCAGTGTTAAGAGTCCAAACTGAAATTACCAGTGGCTTTTAAAAATGGCAGCTCCTTTCATCAGTGAATGGGCTAATTTGCTTACATGAAAGCCATATTCACCAGGCGGTGGTCACGCACGCCTTTAGTCCCAGCACTCTGGGGGCAGAGGCAGGCGGATCTCTGTGAGTTCAAGGCCAGCCTGGTCTACAGAGTGAGTTCCAGGACAGGCTCCAAAGCTACACAGAGAAAACCTGTCTCGAAAAACCAAAAAAAGAAAAGAAAAGAAGAAGAAGAAAAAAAAGAAAGCCATATTCAAATGAAGACCAACGTTTTCTTTCTGCTACACATTCACTTAACAGTATCTCACTCTAAGATTCAAACAGCTGGATAACAAAACTGACTATGTTTTTCCCTTAAAATTCCCTCTAGACTGGTTCCAAAAAGTGTAATAGTAACAACACAGTTCCCTGGGATTGTTTCCTGGACCGTTTAAAAGAGCTAAAGGGAGCTGAGTGGAGGCATGTATGCATTTTTCCCCTCTCTGCTCTGGATGTGGATGTGACTAGCTACTCTAAGTTCCTACCTTGACTTCCCTGTAAAGATGAACTGTAACCAGCAATGGTAGCCAAATAAACCATTTCTCTTAAAATAAAGAACACACAAAAAAAGAAAGATAGAAGAGTTACCATCACAGCCTCTACAGAGAGTAAAAGAATAGCAAGTGGCCGTTACGAACAGCTGTATAGCAGGGTATTTGATATTTTAGACTACATGTCCCGGAGGAAGGCCGCAGAAGTAGCCAGGCCATTTCTTCCACAACTGCTCCTTGTATAATACTGAGTTTGAGGCCAGTCGAGGAGGGAGCAGGAGGGATACAGTGTGTCCATTGCTGTGGACAAGAAACCTCTGGTCCCAAGTGGGGTGAGGTTGACCTGGCAGACTGGGCTAGCTAACTGAGTTCAAATTCCCCTGAGTTTATCTTGGGGCTGAACCTATTTCTCAATCTCAGGTACACAAGAGGTGACAGCTGTAGCGCAGACTTAATTCTGGGGATTGCCCAACAGCAGTGTGGTAAAACTCCCCAAATCCTTCTCTCCACCCCTCCCTTTATCCTCTAACCCCTTCCCATCCGGTCTCGGGTGAAGAGAAAGAAGCAAAGGTCTTAGCATTGGCCTAACCAGGACGAAGCAAGTCCGGCTCCTCCTCTAACCAGTCACCTCTCTAAGCCTC